TTTCTTTCCTCAAAATCTGCCCGAGAGTTAGCACTCTTGGATTTTTCTTCTTCAGGGAAGAACGTATAATGTGCCTTTACCTTCAAGAACTGGAGGGAACACTCTCAGCTTGCCCATCACGGCAGCGGGGGGCCCGACGACATTATATTCTAAAACATTTACTCAGTCAGCCCTTGCGTCCCATTATGCCTTTAAAACTTATTTGGTCCAAGGAGTTTCCAAGCTGTGAAATCCCCCATTGTTCTCCTTTCCCCAAACCCGGCACTAGGGACAGAAACCCCCCCTATCGTCCCCTTGTCTTTCCCGGCAGTTTGAAAGTGATGGAAGCCGTAAATAGACGTTTAGTGTGGTATTTTGGCACCAACAGTCTCTCCCACTCGTCAAATGGTTTCGTAAGGGACTTTTACCAAGACCCCCTTTTTACGTTGGTACGTATGTTCGTAATGCTTTTGGGGAATAAAACCCCTCAGTTTTGCCATATTTTTTTACCCTTTGGGAAAGGGTTTGACGTACTTGGAGGGTTTAAATTTTTTCCAAGCCCCCTCCTTAGCCTTTAGGCAATTACCATCCTTCCTTAAGAATTTTTTAAATGACAGGCATTTCTTTTGTTCGGGTTAATATGTGCTTCCCCGGACTTTATCCCAAACTGAGGGTTCTCGGGGTGTGTTCTGACCACAACACTTTTTCTCCCTTTTATTAATGATTTTGGGCCCCTAGTCTTCCATCAAAATTTTGGGCATCACTCTTGTTTATGACTTCGCTATTGCTTGTGCAGGGGCTGATCACCTTTTACAGTTTCCTCCAGCACAGTCGACCTGTTTCCAATTGGGCCCCCACACTGGGTTTTAAATTTTCCCGCACTAAAAACCCCCAAATTACTTTCACTAGACGTCTGTCATCTCCATATCCTTTGTACCCTTGGCTCCCCATCCCTGAACGTGATACAGTCAAATTTTTGGGGCCCCCTCTTTGCCGTGGGTTATCCCGGGGAAAACCCCACATTCCTCTCGAAGGCACTTGTACAGCTGGCTAACCTTCTTTTAAAACCCTTGTATCTTTTATGGGGAGCTGATCGTTGAAAACCCCCCTTTTTCCTACATTCCACCCCTTTTTGTATCGAAACTTGATTATGGTGACCGATTATTCAGCGGCACTCCTGCTACTCTCTCTAGCCCTTAACCCCCTTCATCCCCAAGGATTCGTTTATGCCTTGGTGCTTCTTGTTTTTTCCCCCGTCGAGAGCCTCTATGCAGAAGCGAAGTTCCATCCCTTTCCATTGCCGTGATGCCCATTGCCTTCGCTACTATGTACCTCCTGATCTCCGCAAACCTTCCATTTATGAATGGTCATGATATTGTAGAATTCTTTTTTTGTTCGCCCCCCCCTTTTACTCCATCCCTTCGCCTTCTTGTGTCTTTTCTTCAAATTTCCACCCTTTTTATGTACTGTGATCTCGCTTTTTCCCCACCCCCCCGGAAGTTCCAGGCTGTTCGAAACTGTTCTTTCTCTCTCCCTTGCCGAAAAAGCCCAACTGTCTCGGTCGCTTCCGTCTCTTTTTTTTGACCACTTTCACTTTTTCTCATGCCATTGCGTGTCCAATGGCTTAAAATCTTCCCACGGCGTAGGGTTTGCACCTTGTTTCCCGGGCAGGTCTCTGGGGATTTACTATCTTGGCTAGTATTTTTATGCTGAATTGTAGCCCCCTTTCAGCACTTTTCCGTATGCATCTATCCCGTGTATCATTTTTGGTTTTTCCAAGATCCCTTAGTGCTTTAAGGCTAAAAAGAAATTTTATACACCTCGCCCTTTGTCCTCCGTATCCAACTTTGGGGCCGATCTTTCAAGATAAAAATAGTTTTTTTTTGGGGCCCTGGTCATGTTTACGTAAAAGGGGAATGAACAGGGAGCACTGCTGCGCGGCAGCAGACATGACCTACCAGTTTCATGTAGAGGTATTCCATTTACGGACTATTTTGCTACAATATCTTCCCAACTTCACACCCGTTGGCAACAACGTTGGTCTACTATGCTTGGCAATAAACTTATATCTATTAAACCGAGTATAGGTTACTGGCCGTCTTCTTATAACCAGTGTCGAGGTTGGGAGACTACTCTCTCCCGTCTTCGCATTGGCCATACTCGTCTTACTCATGGAGAGGCGTCTTGCTCCTCTCTGTGATCAGATCAGATCTGATCGGACTCACAGGTAAGTACCCACGAGGGGCGAGGGGCAAGTGGGGACAGTGCGAAGAATAGACGGGGAGAGGAATGTCTTCAGTCGAAGAGAGAAGAGTCAGGACTAGACCCAACTGCTAAGCCTGGATAACAATGACGAAAGACGATGTAGAGACAACAGGAACTCTGTAGGAGCTGACTGCAACTTGCTGGATGGAAGATTACTGCTTCTTTATGGTGATTGGTGGCTGCAGGCGACAAGGGAGGAGCTCAACGTTGATTGGTCATTTCATAATGGCTTGGTGGTTATCTGGAATTGTGGCGTTTTTTTTTTTGAAGTAACTGAGTGGTGTTCCATTTTCAAGACGTTTGAATCGTTGGAGAGGAATTATTATGAGACGAGTTAACGAGTGTCGATATTTCCCTTCTTCGATTAACTTTTCAGCTTGCTTAATAAGTTGTGAAAGTTCAGTTCTACAATCAGAGTCGGTATCTTCAACAAACTTGACTGTTTTTTGGATGAGGTGAGATTTGAGTTCAGCTGGCTCCATGTCTTTAGGATAATTTTCTGTGGTACAGAAATATATTCCACCCCAATCAAGATATTCATCTGGTACAGTATTTGATCTTGGGTCTTGGGATGGTAGTGTTGGTGCTGGTGAATGTACATTTTCCACTTCATCTTCAATGGACGAATGAGAGGATGTTTCTGGTGGAAAGGCTTCTGATTGGTCGGTTTCGTTCAGGAGTGGAGGCGATGGAGGCTTCTCATTGGACGTTGTTGGAGTGACGTCACTAATTGTTGATGGTGTTGGAGCTGCAGGCATAGAGGTGTTGATTAGGTCCTTGGTGAATTTTAGTATTTCTTCCGAAGGTGGAGATGCTGGGAATATGAATGATGGCATATTATTTAGTGCAAATAACTCGTTGATGGTAGAGTTAAAAGATTTCCCGGTACAGCCATATTTTGCATGTGAGCGTATAGTAGACAGTAGTGGATCTTGGTTACGTCACATGCTGGAGGAGTGATGATGGTGGAGGCTGGCTGAGTAGTAGCTTGAAGTAATTTCGTAGTGTTAGCGTGAATCTTTGCAATTGCTGCATACGTTGGTGTGTTGCTAGTAGGTTTTTTCTTTGCTGCTTCTTGTGTTTTGTTCACAATATCCTTACGTGTAGGACATTTTGCTGCCAGTGTATGGTGGTCGTTACTCTTACAGTTTAAGCACAATGGTTGTGGTGGAGTAGCAGCGGTGCAGGAACTGAAGGTGTGTCCCTCACTACCACATGTAGTGCAGAACAACTTGTCTTTTACTGGACATGCTTTGGTGGTATGATGGTAAGAATAACAGTTCCAGCAGTGTTGGATGTACTGATATCTCTCTGCTTCGATGTAGGTTGGACTGATGAAGTAGTAGTAAACAACAAGACCTTCAGTCAGAGCAGTGGCAGCCATGTTAACGTCGGTGAAGGTGACCTTGAGCATGGACGATGCATTCGGGATTTTTGTGATGCTGTCAACAGTAGCCCAAGTATTTTGCGTCTTGATGGATGTCTTGAGTTCAGCAGGTGATTGAGACGTCAGAATCTTGTCCAGTTTTTTGAGGAATACTGATTTCCTGGCCTTGAGGGCAGGAGATGACATAACAGTAAACCCTTGAGCGGTAAGTGTAGTGGTGGCATCTGTAGCGAGTAGCTTCTCTGCTTCAGCATCATCGTGACACACAACAATGAATGCTTCTTTCAGAGACAAAATGGTGTTGAATTTAACTTGAAGTGTTCCTTGAACAACAGTTGCAAGAGCAATCTTCGTTGAAACATCAACGGTATCACTTGTTGGCTTGATCTTGACACGATTTGCGTAGCTCATCGTGCATGAAGATGAAGACGACGCTGGTAAAGGTTCCCCTCCCCAACGGGGATCGTAGGGAGACAGAGTAGGGAAGACTTCACCCAGCTACAAGAGTGCAGAGGCCAACTGTCTGCCAGGGGGCAGGCAGCCAGCTACGCACCAAGTCCTGGAGCAGGATGAAGAGTTCCTCTTCTCTTGCCTATACTAGTTGCTGAGTGTCGAGGTCTGATCCTCCCAACCGGGAGCAGGTACATCTTGCCAGTGCAGAAGCCAGTCGAAGAGTCCCTCCTCCTCTCTGTGAGAATTGCCAAGCTCCATTATCAGTCAGCCACATTCTGTTGGACTGCCCACTTTATCAACGAGCACGCAGAATTTACCTCTGTCGTTGTCTTCACTCCGCTGCTCTCTCTTTACCTTCCCTTCTCGCTGATGGACCCACCTTTCATCCGGACTCTCTCATTGACTTTTTGACAACAACTGACTTACTTCACAAATTCTGATACCTTCAGCCCTTTCTACTTCAATCTCTTGCTACCCACTATCCCCTGCCCCTCTGTTTTCTGTAACCTACTGATCATCCCTCCTCCCATCCAATACCCTCGCTTCCTTCCCTACCCTGCAGCGTTGTATAGCCCTTGTGGCTTAGCGCTTCTTTTTGATTATAATAATAATAATCAAGGGAAAGGAATGTCTCTTTAAACATGGCGAAGGGCATGTGATCTGAGGAATTGGATCGAATACAATTATCCCACATCTCTATTTAGCCTTTGAGGATATTTCTCTTTCAAGACTGCAAAAATAATTTCAACATATTAAGTGCTACAGTCTGGTAGCTAGTAAAAACAATTTCCTACTTAAGGCAATACATATTTTGCTATCAAATATTTTAATACATGTTATATAATAGTTACATATATAGAATAGGTCAACCTCTAACTTGTCTACCTTAGAGGGGAGGAAATCACTTGTTACCAGATAAACTTTTACAATATTTATTTCTTCATAGCACTGATACATTATAGTATACAAATAAGTTGTCTTGCAATTTTTACCCAAAATGTATAAATCTGGAATCCTTGAAAAATCTGTCCTAAAATATTTTTCTATATAAACACATCATCATACATGTTATTACAATGAAATAGGGTGTCAGTAAAGCTGACATGTTTTGAGAAAATTATAAACAATTTAAATGTATCAATGTTTTTCTTTATGATACTATATTAAATTTTTAAGACCAAGTGCTAGATGTGGAAACCTTGTGGCCTCTTAAAAAAAAAAAAACTGCCAAAGCGTGTTTGAGCAATTAATTTTTCTCTTTGGGACAACTGGATGACACTTTATGCAGTGAAAAGGTTAAGAATATTTTGTCTTGCCTTATATTAACATTGTGAATCAAAAATAAACAACTAAAGGGATGTAAAATCCTCGACATTTAATTAACTGAATAGTATTTGTAAAGCATGCAATATATGCTACAGTATATAAACATTTGGTACCTAATTATATAACTAAAAAAGGAAAACATTAAAAAGTGAGAAGTTATTTTATGTAAAATATGAACAAGAACTTACTCTGCTCACTAATTTTCTAAGGTCTATAATTCAATATGTACAATTATTTAAGTAAAAATGTACTCTGGTCGAGTAAATACTTAAGATATAAAAATATAAATGCTATATCAAATTTTACACTGTACAGTAGAACCCCCACATCCACGGATTCAGTATCCGTGGTTTCAGTTATCTATGGTTTACTGTGGCTCAAAAATAACCCTTAATTATGCCCCCCAAAATTAATGATGCTGGCAATTCTTCAAAACCAAAGATGTGAAATACTTCCCATCAGTGAAAGTGCTAATTCTAGACTTTATATATGAAAAATTACTTATCCATGGTAGGTATTTCTGGGGGAGAAAACTACTATATTTGCCGAAGCAAAATTAAACAGAAAGCTACATTTAACATTTTCAATGCACAATCAAGGCAACAGTGAATAGATTACTTGATGTTAAAGCATTAATTTTAACTACAAAACTTACATGGTAGTAAATATGATTGCAATTAAAGCACTGTTAGAAGTTTGAGGCAGGAACAGTTAATTGGTGGTGATGGCCATGGAAATTATAGGTAGAGGGTCAGATAATATCCTGTGTGAGACTAAAGGCTGGTTCACCGCCATTCATCCACTAATGCAGCCGCAAGTGTGGTCAGCAGGGCACCCGATGTTACGAAGACAGGAGAGGACCCATTGAGGCATCCGCACTAAATAAAAGAGGACATATGAACATGCTAACAAAACAGATCAAATATTTTCATTACAATGCATATTAACACATTCATCATTTAAAAAGATATACACAAAGGGAAATACTTTATCCCCATTGTATAGATCCTAATCATGACTCTCATCAAGCTTTCATATTATTAGCTGCCAAGAATAAATGACTATTAAGATTAAATTTAGGTCACTAAGTTAAAACCATAGAAAGTACATTGTGCATATAGAAGCATCCTGTTACTTCATCACTAGCAAAGACTGCTCTCTCATGTACCACTAATTTAATATTAAAAATAGCCACTTAACCTGTTTAGTATGGTACTCAAAATTATACACACTTTAGAATACTGGATACAGTTGTAATATGAGAGTATTCTCCATGACTGATGTACACAACTAGAGTATTAAAATATTAATGAAGTTTTATTCTCTATTGTATGCACCAATGTTAAATGGATAATGAAATAAAATTGCCTTTATATTTTGAAGGGATAATTATTTGATCCCAATAGGAAATGAAATCAAGGTAGCTTATCAACAAAGTTGTAAATGCCTTTTAACCCCTTAGCACAAGAGTAGAATCATACTAAGAGAAAGTAGCTAAATGCAGCATGGTGGCCATTGTGAGGACTTGTATGAGGCTTTACTTGGAGGTGCCATTGTCAGCTGCATCATTCATGGGTATGCTGATGGTCTTGTGGGCCTCATGCTCATCCTCTTCTGCCTCCACCAACCAGTAGGTCTCGTCCTCGTACAGTTCGTCTGTCTTAAGCGTTGCGAAGGGTCGCAGCCTTAGAATCAGGCCTGCAAGGGAAGTTGCATCAGTACTACAATTTTCCATCTAGAATACCCTCGCTCCTTCCTGCCCTGCAGCACTGTATAGCCCCTTGTGGTTTAGCTCTTCTTTATGTTTATAATAATAATAATTCCATTTAGTTGGGAACTACTAGGTCATTATGAAAACAAAAATCTAGAAATTACTTGCAGTGTGAAGAGAACTTCAAAAATTTCATTGTAACAGTCCCTCACTGTACCCCCTGGCATACAGGAAAGAAATCAACATAATTTACACGGAAAATACTGGAGCTGATTTTCCTATGATGGAGTGCCTATGCTTTTGAAGGGCTCTCGATTCAAAGAATTGGAGCTACTGTCACCCTTCCTTGGATCAAACCTGCTACCTTGCATTCCCCAGGTGCTAGATGACCCTTATGGGCTTAGCACTTATCCTATGATGGAGGTTTCACATCTACAGTTGGAATAGAAATTTACATAAACAGGAAGGAAAGCAGATTGTGTAAACTACTACAAATTAAAAAAAAATATAATATGAGAACTTAGGGAGTAGTGTGCTTAAAGGCTTTTCAATATTTATAAGATACAAGAGATTTACCAGCAGACCCTGCAGCGCTGTATAGCCCTTGTGGCTTAGCGCTTCTTTTTGATTATAATAATAATACCAGCAGACCCATGGCCTTGATAGGAAACAAGTGACTGCAAACTTCATAATCAGCTAGGCTGTGGTACTTTTGCCAGACAGCTTTAAACAAAAGCCAGATCAACCAGGTCATCAACAGAGGGCACACTGTATGTGTCTTTGTTATAATAATAGTTTACTTTTATAGCCAATTTTCAGCAGCAGTACCTAAATTAACATGTACCTTCAGTCACTTTATCATTTAGTTGCCTTTGCTTTGTGTTTATGATTTACTATAATGACCTCAGGCTATAATTATTGCTGAATGATCAACCTGTGTGTATCAAACTATTTGCATTTCATCTCATGTGCAGCATTCCCAAACGAGATGTTCATTTGGTGAATCAAAGAGTAAGTCTTTTATTCAACAATGTTTTGCTGGCAACAAGGCTGTCAAGTACTTAATGAAGGCATTGCAAAGCATTAAATAACAGGCCTGCTGTGTGTGCCCAATTCACCATTCACTACCTATCCAGATTGATTTTATGGAATCCATTCAGGAATTCTATAAATTTATTTCCACTATAGAGATGAGCTCTATAAAGTAAAATAGAGAAGAGACTTTGAGACAAAGTCAAAAATTCCTGACCTGTAACAATTCCTCCAACAATTGAGACACCCATGGTGATTACAAGAGCGAGAATCTGATTGATGGCTTGTGCAGTAGCAGAGATCCCTGATCCACCTTCCAAGTCAGGTAGCAAGACCCTTAACTGATCCAGCTGTGCTGTGCCGTGAGGAGGGGCTCGGGCAGGAAAGATCTCATATAAGCTGACGAAAGAGGCAAATATCAGTGAAGTCGACAGTGTATGAATTGAAGTACAGTACTCTAGGTACATCCTTTATCTATTTAACCTCATAATAACTGTACTCCTGACATGATTAAGATTCCACTGGAAACAATTCACAGCATTTTTTTTTTTTTTTAGAAGTTAGGGTAATTGCCCAGTTGTCAAAATTGGACTATCTTAAAGTATACTTTGTGTTCATTACTATAATACAAATTTAAAGAAAATTATAGATACACTGTATATAATTATAAATATAACTGATTTGTCACCAACATATCTACTTGCCTAAAAAATTAGAACTTTAACAGATGATACCACAGGTACAGTATATGGCAGGTTGATCTCAAGTCTTACTGTGAGAGAATTTACTGGTGTACAGTTTTGACTGAAATACTGCATACCTCAAGTAAGGTGATCAAACTGATAATTTATCATGTATTCTCACTGTCTTATGTAATGTATAATTTGTAAACTAGGCTCCTAAATACAAATTGTAAATTACAACATTCAAATTACAAACTACAGGTATTACATTACCATCATTCATTTTCGTATCATATGTTTTAATACAAAATTTATATGGATTAAAATAACTGTTCGAGTTAATGCTATGTCTTATATAATTTTTTTAATACCATCTCTTACAGAGGTAGGGTTACCCAAAAAAGAAGAAACACTCACTATCACTTGCTATCACTGTCTTGCCAATGGCATGCCAACATCACAGTTCAGATGCCAATCCAAACCACAATATCCCCACCCATTCTTCAGATTGCAGACACTGTACTTCCCACATTTAGGAATCAAGTTTGGCTAACCAGTTTTCCTGAACCCCTTCATAAATGCTTCCCTGCTCACACTAACAGCAGAGTCTACACTCACTCCTAACATGCTTTCACATGCCTGTTGGTTGTCCAAGCCACTTACACAACTCTTTTACCCATTCCAACCTTTCTTAGGACGACCCTTACCCTTTCCTCAACTGCAGATTTATACACCCTCCGAGTCATTCTAGTTTGCTCTATCCTCTTAAATGTCCAAGCCACCTTAATAACCCCTTTTCAGCTCTCTGGATAATACTTTTACTAACCCCACACCACCTCCTAATCTCCAAACTACGAATTCTCTGCGCAACATTCACATTGCTACTTTCATAAAGTATGGTATAAAAACAAGTTTGCCTAACCTTGGGCCATAGTTTGCCTCTGATGCCATGGCTGCTACAATACAGCCAATGATGCCAGCCAGGATGCCAGGCATCCCATGCAGGTTATTCACTCCACAGGTGTCGTGGATCCTCAGGCGGGAGGCCAGGAAAGGCTGCAGGAAAGAGTGGAGTTAACCGACTGTTCTTGGGTGAATAAAGAGCCTAGCATGAATTAATTACACATCAGACTTTTTAGTATGTTACTGTATATCCCATTGCTGATGACCAGTCTTTCATCGTTAATTGATGATTACCATTATGCATGTTTTAGACATGTTTGCTATCACTAATATCCATTTGCCTTTGTTTTCTTGTTTACTGAATTGATTTCTACAAGCTTGAAATAGTTTTAATAATAAATAAAAGGCCATATTTCTTATCAATCCCTTAGTATTAACAACTTCATAAAATAAAACAGTACATATGATAAGCGTAAATTATGGAAATAGCTCAGTGCAAGATTAACATAAAATATTGAACAAGAAAATGGGGAAAAGGAAGGAGGGGGGGCAAATGCTGCAAATACTTACGGTGAGGTAAACATAGCCGAGGACAGATAGAGTGCCAGCTATAATGCCAATAAGGAGGGCACCCCAAGGTTGTATCATTAGGTCAGCTGCTGTCCCTACTGCCACACCTCCAGCCAGTGTACTGTTCTGGATGTGAACCTACACAAGATGCAGTGAATGTTACTCAAGTTATAACAAGTAAAATTACATCTTTTCACTGATACTGTAGTATCAATTACTCTACACAGATTTTAGTCACTGCTGCAATTTAGTGAAGTACCCCAGCTCCTAATATTTTTATTTTGTAACACGTCGGCTGTCTCCCACCGAGGCATGGTGACCCAAAAAAGAAACACTTTCACCATCATACACACAATCACTGTCTTTGCAGAGGCACCCAGATATGACAGTTCAGATGTTACTCCACTGCAATACATCTCTTGAGGGAGTTTTTAGGAATCAGAAAAAAAAAAATTCCATGCCTTTCCAATCTTCTTTAAGGAAACATTAAATGATAAGAATTAAATGAATCCTGAAAATTTTTATAAAAGGTCTTCCACAGGTACTCCACCAAAACAATGAAAGCTGAAGATGCAAGGCAATATAAAATAAGTGACAGTCAGAGGCATACAAGCTGCATTGAGATGTAGGATCAACGATAGAAGCATATAAACTACACAGGGGGTAGTATCAATGGTAGAAGCATACAAGCTACAAGGAGGGGGTAGGATCAATGATAGAAGCATACAAGCTACACAGTAGGATCAATGAGGTGCATGTTCTCTATTCTCAAACAAGAGAATAATAGTCTTATGACAATTCCCTCTACAGCATCCACAAGCATTTAAATATGTAATTTGATTTTTTCATAAGTCCTAATCAATATCAATTCACATGTACTGTAGTATGAAAAGTTAAGCTATTTTAGATCCAAAGGCACTTCCTTTTAACTGCAAAATAAGCTTTTCTATACCTATTCAGTTACATTTTGTGTGAACCTAGTTATTCCTACCATATCAAACTTCTTGTCCTTATGGATGATTGATGAGATGGCAAAGGCTGTGAAGCAGCAGGCAATGAGAGAGACATAGGTGTTGACAATGCCTCTGTGCTGGTCATCTCCAACAGCAGCTCCCGCATTGAAGGACGGCCAGTACAACCACAGAAACAGTGTGCCTGATCAAAGATGTGAGCTTTAATTTTATATACTGCTTAGTATAAACAAATATATGGATAACTGCCAAAAGTCACTTTTCCATTAGCTGTAAATATTTAATGAAACCTCTCACATTACTTAATGTCAATCAAACATCAATGAGAGTAAGTTTATTTTGGTACAGGTCCACATAACTACAATTATCATGCAAATTAACATGTGTAAATTACCTAGTAATACATATACACATGTATATATGTACACATACATAACCCTGAAAAACCCTAATTTTTAAAGGGGTGGACCAGTAAGCCAGCGGAAGGCCTCGGTCAGATGACCAAAAGCTCCACTGGTGGGTCCTGATTCCTGATGAACATTACCCAACCTAGTAATATACTGTACATATTTTTTTTTTTTGACAAACAGGTCATATCCCACCAAGGCAGAGTGACCTAAAAAGAAAAAATTTGGTAATTTATACAAGAGAAGGGGTTATTAGCTCCTTGATTCACTGTATATATGACTACACTTTTATATATGTACTTTTTCCATCTCGCATTCACCAGTTCACTCCCAGTCTTTCCAGTTGCAAAAACATCACTAGTCAATGACAACCAAGCTGCAACATCTCTCACCCATCTCAGACTTTCACTTACATCAACCCCTAAATATGACTCCCAGTCCCATACTTATGAGTTCTGAATCTACACACATTTTGAAAATCTCAAGATTAGGAAGGAATGATTTTAAGAACACTGACCTGGTAGCTTACTCTCTGGTCATGAACATAACAGCAAATACAGTTAATAATCCTACTAAACTGTCAATGTTAAAAATTACTGAGAAGTTGAGTTACTTAGCCATTTTAACTTTTAAGAGTTACCGTATTTCATGGCTAATAAGACGCAGTTTATAAGACTTTTTTTTCGTTTCAGTGACTCAGCATCGGAAGTAACTGGGAGAGCTGCAGCCCACACTGCAAACTTATAGCTCCCATCACTGACCTTCAGTTTATAAGATGCAGGGTGGTTTTTGGAGAAAAACATGCATCTTATAAACAAGGATCCCAATGGAAATAAGTTATCTAAGTAATTTACATCTAGCCATGCTAGGTGTTCTAGTGGTACACTCTGTAATTATTATTTTACTACATGTAAACCACACAATAACCAAATTCTGTAAACTCAGCATTGTAAGCCTTATAGAGAATAAACTTTGAATTGAATTGAATATGTATGTACTGTACCTAAATAAACTTACTAATGACAAAAGCCACAACTTAAGCATAAAATGCTGAAGCTAGAGGCAAACTTTAAATGTGCTCCATAGTCAGCTGCACGTTACAAGTCACAGAGATGAGCAGGAACACCTGCAAGTGAGTAAGTGACCATCTATAATAAACCATCATTAGCCAATTATGTCCAATAACTAATAATGAATGTGGAGTAATTAAGAGAGGCACAGCAAATCTTATTGACTTAACATGGGCATTACTTTCTACTAACCAATCCTCAGTTATTGAATTAATGAGGGTAATGTTACTAGCCAATCACTAAAATTCTATTGACAACTTTGCCAAGACATATACTAATAAATCAACTTCAACACTGTCCACTGACCGATCATAGCGAAGATGTCTGATTGGTAGCTTGAACCTTCTTTCTCTGTGGATGAATCACGTCTGTACAGCATCAGACTGAGGGCCAACCCAAAGTAAGCGCCAAAGGTGTGCACAAACATAGAGTCCCCCATATCAACAGCCTGCAACACAAGAATGATCACTGCAGCAGGCCTACTGGCCCATATTTTGTAAGTACAGTAGTTAAAAATGCAACCCCCTCTCACTCACATATTTAACACATGATTCATAACTTAGATTGGTTAATCAATGGAATGATATAAAGAGGTAATAAGTGATATAATTATTAGAAATTGAAAAATTAGTCAGACAAGTATAAAGTTATTGGATGTGGGGACACCACAAGCATCCTAAACAATTCTTTAACAAGTTTATTCAGGTACATGTGCACAAATTATACATTGTAACGTGTGTAAATTACCCAGGATAACCCCCGAAAAAAGTCAAAGTGACTTATTTCCATTGGGGGTCTTTGTAATATCTTATTATTTCAACCTTGAAAGTTAAAACATCTCAGTAACTCAAATGTGTGAAAATCAATTACAATAAAAGATGATATACTAGGAATAAATTAAACAGAGTTATTTGCATTAACATTAAAAAGAGGATTAGTTTACAATAATATACATGAATGTTAGCTATACAGGAAATCCCTCTTCCCCCCTTTCTGTAGCTTCATTCATTATGTAGATTTTGGCTCTCTTCCTGAACTGGCTCATACTATGACAGTCTTGGACATATACAGGCAGTCCATTCCACTCCTTTATTGCTGTACAATAAAAGGTGTTTGAAGCATTGGCTTAAGCTGGTAGGAGACTTGGACCTGCCTCGCATGGGCCAGTAGGCTTGCTGCAGTGTTCCTTCGTTCTTATGTTCTTAAGCCTGACCACCTACTGTGGAGACTGAAAAACTGTGTACTTCTCTTAGTACCATACTGGTTAGGTATGCAATTAAAGTTTATTCAGGTACAGGTGCACAAATACAGCTAAATACAATGTACTACATACTTATAAAATAAAAATTATTATACACATTTTTATTGTACACCTATTATATTCCTTTGTACAACCATGTGTCATGTCAAAATAAAAATTATTATTATTAAGAACACCAATTTTTGGGGTTATCCTATGAAGTCTACACAGACTGTTACATATGATTATTTATGTAAATGTATTTATGTGTACCAGTACCTGAATAAACTAACTTACATAGCAGCATATGTGTAGATTACCTAGGATAACCCAAAAAAGTCAAAGTGATTTATTTCCATTTGGGTTCTTGAGTTATTGTGCCAAAACAAAAGCATTCACACTGCTAAACTCACAAACTATAATATAGTCACTTAGCCTTAATACCATAATCTGTAATAATTTAAAGTTAAGAATTAATCTAAGTCTGCCCGAAATGCCTAGCCATGCTAGGTGTCCTAGTGGCCCCCCTCTCTAATTAGTATTTTAAAACATGTAAGCCACACAATATCCAAAATCTGTAAACCCCGCATTGTAATCCTTATAGAGAATAAACCTGATTGATTGATTATGGTTCCTAACCTTGACAAACTTGGCACCAAGATATTTTGGACACTGCTTGTGAACAATTTTATAAACGTGATTTAAGTTCAGCTGCTTTACTCAACCACAAATATATGTTAAAACTATTCTTATTCTCATTACTTGCAATCATAATTCAACTTTAAAGAACTAACTGTCTGCTTGTTTGTCCTAACTGCTCAGGCATGTTAATGGCTTTCTTTGTACTTATCATTTTATAACATGTAAATCACACATTGTATATTACGCAAAGGAATAAAATTTAATTTATTTGTAATGCCTAAATTTGTAGTTTGTATACTTTCAATGTTCTTGTGTATATGCAAATAATTCCTGTCACTGCATTCTTAAGTTAGGCTTAAGAGGAAGTAACCATCAGTTGCTGTAGGCCTATGTACGATAAGCCTAAATGGAGTTATCGCAATAATGAGATGACAACTGCGGTAGGCCTATATTTAAAAATAAATCTGAAAATGAGTTAAGCTTACAAAAAAAAAAATAGTTCTTAAATCTAGCAAAATTTTGGTAAATGTATGATCTCTAAGATACATAATTCTTAAGTGGCGTTATAGCAATTATAATGAGGTGATGACATCAGCTGAGGTAGGCCTAAAAGTAAAATTCTAATATTTGTTGTTCTAACTTATTTATGATCCAATCATTATGATTTCTACAACAGATATTCTAGAGTTAGTTCTAAAAACTGTTAGAATATCAATAATCATCTCCATTTTTGCATATCATGGGCATAAAAAAATAGTTGAGACAACTTAAATTTTTGTGGGGGACTACTAAAGACTTATTTTAGATAAAAAAATGTACCTAGGATTTGTTCATCATTTGTTAGTATCCAAAATAACAGACATTTTCAATATGGAAACAGATTTTTTGCAATTTAAAAATTACATTTTATTTTTTCATTTCTTTATTTATTGTACGATCTTGAAACTTTTTCGTCATACACTCCCAATCTACGATAAAAATTTGGATGAAATCGTATAATGGATAAAGAAAACCCCCTCTCCCCCCCCCCCAAAAAAAAATGGCAATACTCTGTATAACCATGGGTTTTCTGCATGCTAAACAAGTTTATTTAGGAACAGGTACATAAATACAATTATCATACATAGTGTAAATGTTACCCAACTCCGTACAACTGTAAAACTTATCTATTTTAACTTTTAAGGTTTACATAATAAGATACTACAAGGACCCCCACAGGAAAAGGTCACTGTTGCTATGTATGATTATTTGTGTAACTATTTGTGTACATGTACCTAAAATCTTACATATTAGGATGTCTTTCAGACACTTGTCCCTGTTCACACAGTAAAAATGGGTACCTGGGTGTTAGTAAATTGGTGTGGGTCGCATCCTGGGGACAAAATTAACCTAATTTCCCCGAAATCCTCTGCATAACAAGGGGCTTTCTATATAGTATATCACTGATGTCAGCTATGGTCTGTATACCTTGTGCAAGTACTGGTATAAATAAAGATTAATTATTATTCTTGTATCATGTGGAAATCAGTGAGCAACTCTCAGCATTACTAGACTGGGAGAGACAGCAGGGCAGGTGAGACACATCTCTCCTTCTTTAACACCGATAACAGGCAAAGTACATGTTGCTGCTACCTGATATCACTCATTGGAACCCATCTCAATAATTAGTGTGCAACGGCGTGAGAAATCCTGTAGGGTTTTTTGGCCTAGAGTGATAAAAAGGAGATTAATGTGAGGGTAGAGAAGCCATCATGGTGGCCTGAGGGACGCCAAGCCACACCCATCTGCCAGTAATATTTCTCTCTCACATCTTTTGTGTCTCCTGTATGTCTATTTGCTTGCTACAAGCAAACCTCCGAGTGGTTGACACGGGTTTTGCAAGCATATTCAAGCAGGCTTGGAAGCAACATTAAGCCAGCCAGGACAAGCCAAGCCAGCCTGCAGTTACTGCTCTCCTGACCCCCAGTACGTCAGTGTACTCGCCTAATTGTGGTTGCAAGGGTCGATTCACAGCTCCTGGCCACGTTCTACAGTGTTCCTGCATCGAAGAAGTAAAGCCATCAAGCCAGCCCAGGCCAGTCCAAGCCAGCTTTGCCGAGGAAGCCAGTGTGAAATCTACCTTCCAGTGTGTCTGCATGGCTTTGTATTACAGTAAAACGCTGGTAAAAGCAAAATTTTACCTAGTGGCTTAATCTGGGTTGATAAGCCAGACTGGCTTAGAGAGTAGTGATAGAGCAGAATAGCTACCATCACCCACATATCTCTCCATGCTTATATATATGTCTACCATTCCTCAGACCAGGTGAAGAAAGAAGCTATTCTGAGCACCGCTGATGAGGCTGGAGGTTCTGAGAATCATCAGGAAATCTTATATTCATCTCAAAAAGAGTCGCCTGTGTGAAGGTGCTGTGTAGTATAGTTGGTGCAACTGCCGCGACGGTCGCCAGCGCCACCCCAGAGTAACTCCAGCTTCTTTTCACCTCTACCACCAGGATCATTTTTGACTTTTCAGTCAAGAGTTTCGCTTTATAGACAGTTAATTGGCATTTTGTGTGAGAGCAAGACATTTGTAAGCCTGAATTAAGACTTAAGGCTCAGAGTATATACCAGTGTAATGACTCCTTACATTTATTAACTCAGTGTAATACACTCCCCCCCTCAGTGTAACTGAACTATTACAGTTACATAATTAAGTTGCTTGTCCTAGTGTCATTGCTGTGTTTTCCAAATAGTTTTTCCGAGACAGACTGAAATATGCCCTAATAGTTCTTTATTTTTTTTCTCTAAATACGATGTAATTTTTTATTAGTTTGTGGTATAATTTTCACTGTTTGCAATGTTAAGTCAATTTTGACTGCTGTAATTTTCTTGTAGAAATATTTTCATAGTACATTTAAAAATTCCAGCATTGTTCTGCCCCATATTTTTCTTGGGGTGTAATTTTTCTCTTGTGCCAAGCATTATATATTTATGTATGCTGTGCTTTGACTTCATTTTATTTTACAGACTTATTGCAAAATCCCTGGTTGTCGTAGCAAGATTCCTTTACCAGTATTATTTCAGATTGCCTTGCATGGGCCAGTAGGCCTGCTGCAGTGTTCCTTCTTTCTCATGTTCACTGTTCTCCTGTACTGTGAGTGTGTAGCTTATTTTTGAACATTTTTATTCAGGTACATAAATACAGTTACATAAATTACCATACATACCAGCATGTGTGTGGATTACCTAGGATAACCCAAGTCAAAGCGACTTATTTCCATTATAATTTTTACCGAGATTATTGTATTTTTACTGTGAACAAGCTTACTTCTGCATGTTGTTTATTTTCATGAATACTTTCCTCTCTCTCTATCTCAATTTGGTTACCTTTAAATTGTGATAAGCAAGAGGCAGCTTGCTAACATTTATATTCTTTGCCATCTCATCTAGTGTTTAGTTAAGATTGTAATAATTTGCAATCATTGTATTCCTACCTATATATTCCGTGTAAATTGTTTTTGATTATTTGTGCTCATTCTGCATATTTTATTGTTGAAAGTGTGTGTGTGTTTGTCTTCAGTATATAC